TATATTCCAATAAAATGCATTAAAAATATATATTCATCTGTGAATATGAGTGCAAGATGGTAGCAGTGACAGCTGTGTCATAATCTATCGAAATTCAGGGAGACAGTGCAAACCAAGGCCAGCCCGAGGCCGATCCCTATGAGGGGAAGGTCAGACCGACGCCCACCCTACATCATTTCCTCCCAATTCTGACCCCAGCCGTCCCTCCCACAGCACTGTCGGGTTTCTCTGCTGGGTTTGATAAGCCTTTGCAATGGCCATATGGAACTCAGACCACGCTTACAGTGAAGTGGTTTATTAAGGACGTGGCAGGGTACAGCTTGGGATCAGGATCAACTGGGATCAGGAATGGGAAGCACGTAGGCAAAGTCTCCCTTCTTCGGTGCACGACAGCTCTATCCAAACCTCTCGGCCACGCAGGCCTCCTCTCCGCCACCCGGCCCAGGCCTCATCCTGGCCCCCTCCAGAGAAGCTTCTCTAAGCCCCCTTTTAGGAGAGGCTCCTCTTGGCCCCGCCTCTATCATCACTTGCTCTGCTTCTCGGCCCTTCTGGGCCTCTCCCTGTCTTCAGGGTTAGAGCCCTTGACCACTGAGGAGCTCTGGTAGTGTAGTGCCTAAGGCACTTGACTGCTAACCAGAGGGCTGGCGGTTCAAACCCACCAGCCTCTCCTCGGAAGGAAGATGGGGCAATCTACTTCCTAGTGATACCGCCTCGGAAACCCACGGAGGGGTCGCTGTGAGTCGGATCCCACTCGACGGCACATGACAACAACAACATCACAGTTAAGGCTCTTGTAGGAGGTTCCTTGCTTCTTTTCTCTTCTTTCTGCCGTCTGCTCCTCTTTCTGCTTCTGTCTGAAAAAGCTCTTTCTGTCCTTATTTGCTTACATACATAACTCCTTGTCTATTTCAACTCATGGACACTTCAAGGAGGTAAGCCACAGGCATTTCATTCACATCATATGCAACAGGCACCTCATCTGCATAGTCTATTGACCAATAACTGCAAGATGCATACTGAGCACAGGGCAAGGCTGCAGACCAGGGCCAGACAAGAAGGATCAAACCACAAGTCATGTGCAGTTCGCCCAGAAAATATCTATCAGCATGGACAAAAGTAACAAATCAGGGCCAAGATAACCTCTCAGGGTTTAGGGAAAAGCCTCTCAACTTGTATTTCCTAAGAACCAGGGAAAAAGGCCACAGAAAGGAACTTGCTTCATTACAATGGTATCCAGCAAGATGTTGCAAAATTCTTTCTTCTTCAGCCATATTGACATTTCCCTTGCAATTTTTCTGCCTGCACCTTGTGACCCAGGATGTGAATTTAGTTTACATCCCTGGACTCTTACTGAGGTGAAAATGGGGAGGGTCCATGAATCAAATGGTGGTTTTGAGAATTGTGTGACATGAAAAAGATTATAGCCAAGAATCCATATGGAGCAGGTCTACTGTACAGCACGCGGGGTCGCCATGAGGTGTGTTCTGGTTCCCTGGTGCCGCTCTGACAGGAATATACCACAAATGGGATGGCTTTAACAAACACGAGTTTATTCTTACAATTTGGAGGCTTTATGTCTGAGTTCAAAGTGCCACCAGGCTCTAGGGGCTGGGTGAAAGCCCCTCAACCTTGGGGTCCAGCTCTGCCTCCTGCTCCCGGCCCACTGGAGCTAGAGGCTTTTCTTCACTCAGCTATTGGCTGCTGAGGCCGACAAACCCAAGGTCAACAAGTAACACACAGTCTCCATATTACCAATCCACACAGCAGGCCATTAATTCAAGCCCATTAAAAGTCCCAAGATCAGCAGAGCATGGCAGGCTGCCAAACGACTCGGCTACATGCAGGGTTCAAGCGTGCCATACCCTAGAGGCCCTTCCCGAAGCTGCTGCTTATATACGGGAGGCAGGCCACACCCCTACAGAAGCTCCTCAGCTGCTTGTGGTGGACCCCACCATGGAGCGGATTGCCAGTCTCCTCACGGGGAATAACTACCACCAGCTGCCGCCCAGCCAGTCAACCTGCGCAGCCAAGTTGACACACAGCCTTAACCACCACAAGGTGGAAGAAACTCAAAGGCCACAGATTACTGTTTGATTTTGGAACCTGGTGCTTCAGTTGTGAGGGACTATTTTGAGGGACTATTTTTTAAACTTCTCTCTTTCCTCAATTGATTTTGTGCTCTTTGGATCTGCCATTTCTTCAGAAATGAGCTGAGGTGGTACAAGCGGTTTGTGATCAGCTGCTAACCTAAAGGTTCCCGGTTCTAACCCACACAGCGGCTCTGCGGGAGAAATGCCTGGAGATCTGCAGCCATAAAGGGTACAGCCGAGGACACCCTGGGGAGCAGGCTGACTCTGTAACAGAACTGTCACCATGAGTTGGGGACACAGCTGAGGACAGCTAACAAAGACAATCTCTTAAGAAGTCAATATCGGAATAGTTTCTTTTCCTAGAAAATGTCCATTTCCTCTGGGTTTCCTAGTCCATTCACATGGAGGTAGGCAGATGAGGCAAATGTTTTCTGGTCTCTGTTAGGGATATGCTTACATTCACAATTACAGACTGAAGGTCCTGAGGTCCTTCATGCAATTTCATTCTCTGTCCATCAATGAAATGATCACGGTACCGCGGGGTCTGAGGATGAGAAAAGTATTCGATTTTGGGAGAAGAACTTCTCAGGCAAGTAGAGAATCCAGTGAGACACATGTGCTTCTCTGCCAGTCCCTCCAGGCTCAGACCTCAGCCTCTCCCGCTCCCTCCATGGGAGCCCCTGTCTGCCTCCAGACGTCATGGAAAATGAAGCATCTAAGATACTCTAATAGCCTCTTTGGAGATGTTTACCAGACCGTGAAGTTTCCAGGAAATGAAAAGTGGGACAAAGTTTCTCAGAACTTTTCTCAGCTCCCCAGTGGTGCCCTGTCAGGGCTGCCCCAGGTGAGGTCATAATTGCAGTTCTGTGGGGACGTGAGGTCACAGACTCTCTAATGCATATCAGGCTCTGGCCACCTCCCTTCTTAAGCTCGTTGGCTGTGCTGACTGTCACACTGAGCCCTAGTAGTGCGAAAGAGTTGGTGAGTATTTTCCATTTCAGGCTGAGAGGCAGAGTCTGTAAGGGAGGAGGTAGACCAGAAGTGATTAAGTAAGAAAGGGTTTCTCCTGAGTGTGAACCCGAGCGAGTTCCATGCCCTTAGAAGGAGGAGGTGTGAGGAAGGAGCTGAACTAGAAGAAGGAGATGGGGGTCCTAGATCATATGTCAATCCCTGATGTCTCCAAAGGAAATTTAGCATAACTGTTAATAACACTAATTATTGGGGTTCATCCCAGACATCATGGAACCTGTTTTTTAAGGTGCTTCATAGGTCCCTGGGTGCCACAAATGAAGCCTCTCAGCTTCTAACCTCAAACAATCTCTTCTGTGTTAATTCATAAAATGCTTAAGATTTCATGCCTTACAGATTCCAGGTGGCACACGAGTCTTATACTTTAATATCTTCCACAAATCCCACCTCCTTGTAGTAGTTTTCCATGACTCAGATATTAATAAATCGATAAGGATGTTATTTGAAATCAGTAATAACTCGGTTTCTACCACACACTACTGTACCCGTGTGTGTCCTGTCCCATAATTTAGAGCATGAACTGAGAATGTTCACTGATTCCCGGGATGGTGACATTGTACTGTTGTTCCTGGCACAGAAGAAAGTGAGTCCTTGCGGTGTCATGGTGATATTGAGCCCTTCTTGCCCTCACCAGCTTGTCTCGGGGCAGGTGTCTGTAGCATTACCCTGCAGGCCCTGCATCTACATGGAGTAAGACGCCTGAAGCTCTCTGCTGTTCCTGCAGCTGACCCTGCACTCGCGGGGTGGGGGCTTTGTGGCTGGGCTGTCCTCTGGGATTCAGTCCTGTGACCAGTCAGGGCTCAGGAAGGGGGACTTCAACATAGCACAGAGAGCAGTCTAGTCTCCAGGAGGCTTGGAGCCCCGGGTGGACTCTGTGGGTCGGGCAGCGGTGGGAGCATGCCCAGGCTTCCAGGTGTCCAGAGTAAGAAGGACACCCAGTTCCCTCTCCACGGAAGCTTTCGAGGCCAAAGGAAGGCTTGATCTCCTGAACTTTAAGCCCGTGAGGATCAGGAGCTGAATCCACGAAAGAAGCTTGCCTGTTTTTATCTTCTCCCAGACCCTGCACACCACACCAGTCCCCTTTTTGTCCCCTGGGGGCTGAGAGCAGAGAGGAGACTAAAATCTAAGGAAGGGTCAGAGGGGAGGTCCTGGAAAAGGGGGAAAAAAAAGTATATGAAGCTTTATTTCTTATGGCTATTGGTCTACAAAAGAAATTATTACACATAAATGAAAACCTGTTACAGTCAATTAGGCAGTAAATACCACCACTGTAAAATCAGTCAACAAGGTGTACCACCAACTCAACTCAATATACAGCTGGTTCATTTGAACAACATAGCTGATTCGCTTTGTAGGATTGAATGGCTGGTAACTGGATGATGTTTGTAATCAGCCCAGCCATGGTCAAGTCCCCTCTGTGCCCCTAACCAGCAAGTGAACTTAGACTCATCTTTTCTCTTCTCTCTGCCTAATCTCTCCTCCATTTTATCATGTAAGTAACAGTGTTTTCTGCCTTGTTGGTTTGTGAAGAATGAAGAAGTTAAACACGGATGGTCTTCACAGCTGTGTCTTACATTTTAAGTGTCCTTTACAGTTTTTAATTCAACCCTTGGAGACCTCATAACAAAAGAAGAAGGGGAAAAATACTTTCAATGTTTCTCGGTGGGAATTAATGGCAGGTGGGGCACAGTGGATTTCAGTTGATGGTGATACATGCAGCCCATGTCTCATCTTCCCAGGCAGGACCCTCTGGCTGAAGACAAAAATCAGTCACTGGGAACTGAGGGAATGTCCTCCACGGAATTTACATTAGGAATGCTCTTCATATCCCAGACTACAGTTGGGGTCCTGGGGAATTTCTCTCTTCTTTACCATCATATCACCCTATACTTCACTGGGTGCAGGTTAAGGTCCACAGACTCTATTCTCACACACCTGACTGTAGCTAACTTCTTGGTCATTCTCTCTAAAGGCATCCCCCAGACTCTGGCAGCTCTTGGATGGAAAGACTTCCTCAATGATTTCGGATGTAAATTTATTTTCTACCTTCACAGAGTGGGCAGGGGTGTGACTATGGGCAGCACCTGCCTCTTGAGTGTCTTCCAGGCCATCACCATCAGTCCCAGGAACTCCAGGTGGGCAAAGCTGAAGCTGAAAGCTCCCAAGTACATCAGCCCTTCCAACATCCTCTTTTGGGTCCTACATATGCTGGTAAATATCTTAGTTCTTTTCTCTTTGACTGGCAATCGGGACAAGAAATCCAGCAAAAAGAGAGGAGATTCAGGATACTGTTCTTTTGTATTTAATGACATAACCACATGCTTACTGCATGTAGCACTGTTTTCATTCCCTGATGTTGTGTGTTTGGGGCTCATGACATGGGCCAGCGGCTCCATGGTTTTCATCCTGTACAGACACAAGCAGCAGGTCCAACATATTCATAGGAACAACATCTCTGCCAGATCCTCCCCTGAGTCCAGAGCCACCCAAAGCATCCTTGTCCTGGTCAGCACCTTTGTGTCTTTTTATACTGTCTCTTACATTCTATCCATTTGTCTGATTCTTTTTTATCCAAGTTGGTGGATGGTGAACACTGCTACACTAACTTCAGCATGTTTCCCAACTATCAGCCCCTTTGTTCTCCTGAGTCATGACTCCAGGGTCTCTAAGAACTGCCATGTCTGCACTGAAAAGAAGACACAATTCTGTCACCTTATAAAAAATATATAAATTGTCTATTTTTCATCAAATTCAGTTATTGATGTACTCCGATCATGAGCTAGTTCACTACACATTGGTGAGTAAGACAGAGATTCTTCTCCAATGTTATCTCATGGAATTCTTATGTACATACTTTGGAATTGCATTTTATTAATATGTGTATTGGAAACATTCAGATCCC